CTGAACATCATATGCCAATTTTATCTATTGGCCTTACATGGGGGGTCAGAGGATGCTTCTGAGTATTTCTTGTTTGTTGAGAAAGTAATTCCTTGTTAACCATTTCTGTTTTTCATGAAATCAAAGGCACAGAAATAAAAGATGCCCAAGTTTCACATCCAGGAATCAACCCTTTCCTGCTCTAATTATCTATTGAAACAAGAACTAGCAAGTTAGTGACAAGAAGTATAAAGCAGACAATGGAGAGTACTAAGCCCAAGTTGAAGTTGATGCTTGAGTTCCCTCATGAGCTGAAGTAGCAGTTGCACATTGAAAGAATTCAAGGGCACTGAGCTTCACTTCTCTGTCGTCAGCACCAGTCTCTTTTCCCATATCTGGGAATGATTGAAATTGTGGTCAAGACACATCTGGAGCTACCAGTCTGTGGGAAGCAGCACAAAGGACATGGGAGGGAAACAGGGGGCTTCTTTTACTTGAGAAGAATGTAAGAAACTTCAGAATCTCCCACTGTTCAAAAAGGTATCATAGGCTTTGCTACCTGCTTGAAACATAAGGTTAAAAACAAAATGTACAAGGGAAGGATTTGTGATGTCAGGTGCCTTGAATGCCAGATGGCTAGAGGATGCTTCAGCTGTGGATTCCTACTTCAGCATGAGCTTGGACTAGATGACCTTTGGTGTGCTTTTCAACTCTAGGGAGATTTGTGAATATTTTGGGTAGCTGCACTTTAACAGATCATCCTATTTCCTTAAGAGCCATCCCTAAGACCAAAATGTGTTTAACCATCTGCTCCTAAACAAGCAGAATAAAAACACAACAGAGAATAAAAAATGCAAATCTTATACGACTTAAGACTGATCCCAAGCAGATTCCTCAGAAGCAATTTTGATGTTGATTCTTGGGAAAGGCTGCAGAAGAGGCTGCACATGCCTTGCATTCAGAAATCCCACTTGGGACTGCAGGCAGACTTTCCACCTCCACAGTGCAGCAAGGGATGTGGTGCCTCCCTGTGCAACAAACACTCCTCTAGAATCCACAGCATTACCCTGAATCCCAGGGCTCTCATCTCACAGCAAATGCACACAGAAATCTAACCTATACCCTCCATTCTTATTCATGTCAGCAGCAGTAAAAGAAATAGCTGTGTCAGTCTCAAAAATGTGACTGGACTCCTTTATGTCTTTTGAGGCTCTAACTGCCTGGGAAGAAGACAGTTCTTGCATAAGCTTTCGTGGACATGGTCCCCGTCCTCTGTACTCCATAAAACCTTATGTCACAAATCTCTTTGTTCCAGCTAATCCCAAAGGTCCTACTAGACTCCTTTATGTCTTCTCAGGCATGTTCTTAGTGCCCCTTTGTTTTCAAGGCATCCTTCATCCTAGACAGGAAGAATAAGAAGACTGGCACTTGCAATGAAAACAACAGGGACCCAACTTCACCAATATTGAGAACCTTATTGGAAGGGGGGGGGGGAGGAATAAAATTGTGAATACTACAAATTAACCTGGGCACTGTGTCCCAAACAAAAACCGGGATGTGTTATCGAAGGCTTTCATGGCTAGAATCACTGGATTGCTGTGAGTTTTCCGGGCTGTATGGCCATGTTCCAGGAGCATTCTCGCCTGACATTTCGCCCACATCTTTGGCAGGCATCCTTAGAGGTTGTGAGGTATATTGGAAACTAGGCAAGGGAGGTTTACATATCTGTGGAAGGTCCAGGGTGGGAGAAAGAACTCTTGTCTTTTGGAGGCAAGTGTGAATGTTGTAATTAATCATCTTGATTAGCATTTCTGGAGTGCCTCAGGGTTCCATCCTGGGCCCGGTCCTGTTCAACATCTTTATTAATGACTTAGATGAAGGGCTAGAAGGCATGATCATCAAGTTTGCAGACGACACCAAATTGGGAGGGATAGCCAATAGTCCAGAGGACAGGAGCAGGATTCAAAACGATCTTGACAGATTAGAGAGATGGGCCAAAACTAACAAAATGAAGTTCAACAGTGACAAATGCAAGATACTCCACTTTGGCAGAAAAAATGAAATGCAAAGATACAGAGTGGGTGACGCCTGGCTCGAGAGCAGTACGTGTGAAAAAGATCTTAGAGTCCTCGTGGACAACAAGTTAAACATGAGCCAACAATGTGATGTGGCGGCAAAAAAAGCCAATGGGATTTTGGCCTGCATCAATAGGAGCATAGTGTCTAGATCTAAGGAAGTAATGATACCCCTCTATTCTGCTTTGGTTAGACCACATCTGGAATATTGTGTCCAATTCTGGGCACCACAATTCAAGAGAGATATTGACAAGCTGGAATGTGTCCAGAGGAGGGCGACTAAAATGATCAAGGGTCTGGAGAACAAGCCCTATGAGGAGCGGCTTAGGGAACGGGCATGTTTAGCCTGAAGAAGAGAAGGCTGAGAGGAGATATGATAGCCATGTATAAATATGTGAGAGGAAGCCACAGGGAGGAGGGAGCAAGCTTGTTTTCTGCTTCCTTGGAGACTAGGACGCGGAACAATGGCTTCAAACTACAAGAGAGGAGATTCCATCTGAAGATTAGGAAGAACTTCCTGACTGTGAGAGCCGTTCAGCAGTGGAACTCTCTGCCCCGGAGTGTGGTGGAGGCTCCTTCTTTGGAAGCTTTTAACAGAGGCTGGATGGCCATCTGTCAGGGGTGATTTGAATGCAATATTCCTGCTTCTTGGCAGGGGGTTGGACTGGATGGCCCATGAGGTCTCTTCCAACTCTTTGATTCTATGATTCTATGATTCTATTTATTGTTCTTGCATCTTCAAGGCCTGGCTGATTCCTGCCTGGGGGAACCCTTTGTTGGGAGGTGACTAGCTGGTCCTGATAGTTTTATGTGTGAAATTCCCCTGGTTTTACAGTGTTGTTCTTTATTTACTGTCCTGATTTTAGAGTTTTTTAAAATACTGGTAGCCAGATTTTGTTCAGAAATGCCAGATAACTCTAACAACCACTATGTCAGACTACACAGAGAAGTCACTGAAATCCACAATCATATGGACAATTTCAACAGAAAGGAAAAATCATTAAAATGAACAAAATCTGGCTACCAGTATTTTTAAAAAAACTAAAATCAGGACAATAAATAAAGAGAAACACTCAAACAACAGGGGAATTCCTGACATGAAGCAATCAAGGCCAGCTAACACCTCCCAACAAAGCAGGAAGGAATTAGTTAATATTTGAAGTTACAAGGCCATTCAGTGCTAAAGGTGGCAAGAGTTTCAACAGACAAGAGTTAGTTCACAGAATCATAGAGTTGGAAGAGATTTTGTGGGCTACCCAATCCAACCCCCCCACCAGAAGCAGGAAAATTGCATTCAAGGCATCCAAAGAAGGAGCCTCAACCACAGTCCAGTTCTCCTACTCTGGACCTTCCAAACCTCACTTGCCTCGTTTCCAACAGACCTCAAAACCGCTGAGGATGCCTGCCATAGATGTGGGAGAAACATCAGGAGAGAATGCTTCTGGAACATGGCCATACAGCCTGGAAAACTCACAGCAACCCAGTGATTCTGGCCATGAAAGCCATCCACAACACAAGGGGATTTGGGGTACTGTGGTCCAAAGTGTAACTTTCTCCAGCTCTAATGGGGGGTGGGGGTGGGAGAGGAGGGCCCTTCCTAAGGCTTCTCTTCCTTTCCTGCCTTGTGGGTCCCCACCAAGTACAAGAGTATCTCATCTTGGGTCTCTGTCTTTCCTCTTTGCCAGGAGTGGCACCAGGGATCCGTTTGTCTCCTTAAGGAAGCCCATGCGAGCGGAGGCGGCAGGCTGTGCGTCCTAGCGGGGAGGGAGGAAGAGCAGGCCAGAGAACAAACGACCCCTGAGATGAATGTCCAAGTTGAAAACCCGCGGGGAAACCGAAAAGACGAGTGAAGGAGGGAAGACAAGGAGAAAGGTCAGGAGAGAGACCACCAGAAGGGAGAACCGAGGTGCGCCGAGGAAGCGAGGAAGGAAGAGGAAAACAAGGAGGAGGAGAAAGTAGTAGTAGTTGGAGGAGGAAAAGGGACAAAAAAGAAGAAGAGGCGTAAGGACAAGATAGAAGAGGAGGAAAAGGAGAAGAACCAGAGGAGAAGCAAAAGCAGGAGCAAGAGAGGAGGCGAAGAAGCAGGAGAAAGAGAAGGGTATCAAGAGAAAAAAGAGAAGGAAAGAGTGGGCGAAGGAGGAGAAGCAAAAGATGAGGAGAAGCAGGGGAAAACGAGGAGGAGGAGAAAGGAGTAGTTGAAGGAGGGGAAGAAAAGAAGGAGAAAGAAAAGAAAAGAGGAGCAAGGAAAAGACAGAAGAGGAGGAAAATGAGAAGGGGAGGAGGAGCAACAGCAGGAGAAAGAGAGGAGGCGAAGCAGGAGAAAGAGAAGGATATCAAGAGAAGAATACAGTACGTAAAAGAGGAGAGAAGAAGGACGCTAAGGAGAAGCAAAAGAAGAGAAGGAGGAGAAAGGGAAGAAAAGGGGGAGGAGAAGAAAAGAGGAGCAAGGAGAAGATAGAAGAGGACGAAAAGGAGAAGAAGGAGAGGAGGAACAAACGTAGGAGAATGAGAGGAGGCGAAGAAGCAAGAGAAAGAGAAGGGTATTAAGAGAAGAAAAGAGTACGTGAAGGAGAGGAGGAGGAGAAGGACGCCAAGGAGAAGCAAAAGAAGAAGAAGAGAGGGGGAATAAAAGGGGGGAGAAGGAGAAGAAAAGAGGAGCAAGGAGAAGATAGAAAGGGATGAAAAGGCGAAAAAGGGGAGGAGGAGCAAAACCAGGAGAAAGAGAAGAAGAAAGAGATGTAAAGAGTAAGCGGTGAAGGAGAAGGAGAAGGAGAAGGAGAGAAGAAGGACGATAAGGAGAAGCAAAAGAAGGGGAGGAGAGGGGCTTCGTGGGGTTCCGCGTCCCCTGGCCTCCTCGTCTCAGGAAGGGCTCCGCGAGGCCATCTATCTATCCACCCCGAGGGCAGGCAAAGAGGGAGGGAGGGAGGGAGGGGCGCGCCGACTTACAGCCCAAGTGACAGCCGAGCAGCCCGAGGAGCAAGGCGGGGAGGAGGAAGAGGACGCCTCCGCGCCTCGCCATCTTCTCAGCAGCAGGAGCAGCAACAGCTGTTTGTGGGGCCCCTCCCGCGGCCAAGCCAGACGGGGAGCCTCGCCGGCGGCGCCGGCGGCGCGATTGCCACTCCAATTGTGACGCGAAAGAGGGAGAGAGAGAGAGAGGAGAGAGAGAGAGAGAGGCCGCAGCTGGAAGGGCAGAGGGGAAACCCAAAAGCCCTCGCCCCGCGGCTCCTCCCTTCCCTTGGCTTCGGGAGAAGAGAGGAGAGGAGAGGAGGAGGGAGTTCCTTCCTCGGAGCCCGCGTTAAACTGAAAAGGGAGAGAGAGGGGGGGGGGGCTGTAGTATTTTCCGTTAGGTCTTCGTCAGCAAGCGAAGCCAATGCGCACCAAAGGGAAAAGGAGGAGACTTGGGGGCAATTCAAGAGGGGAACGTGCTGGAGGGATCCCAGGCTCGCCCCCTTTGTGCTGGGAGGAGGCTTCCCTTGAGCCCATTTCCTCGCAGGAGAGGCGGGAGAACAAAGCGGGCGGCTTTCCCTCCAAACTTGGAAAGGAGCCGCGTCACCTCTTTGGCCAGCCAGCTTCCACGCTCGCTCGTGGCCGGGATGGGAATGAGGCCTCGCTCTCCTTGTTGCTGATGTTAGGGTGCGCCTTCAAGGCATCGCTGGCTTCTGGTGAGCCGAAAGCAGGGGTGCCCAACCTTTGTTTGACCAGGGACCACACTCCAACATTAGTACCAAAAAGGCTATAAACCTGTTTTTGGGTCAACTTTAGATTTGGTTTGGTTATTCGGGGTGCTGATTCAGAAAATTGCATTGGATAGACCACATCAGCTCTACTTCATGATACGGAACATATGCCACCCAGTAGTTGCCATCTGCTCGCCCACAGGAAACCACACTTAATCATCTAGAGCTGATATGGTCTATCCAAAGGATCAGGGCTGGTCAGCCAATCTCCCTGTTGTGCCACCTCTACAAAGTTCTGGAGAGACTTATTTTGCATAGAATTATGGAAAAAATAGACCCATGTCTGATTCCACAGCAAGCTGGCTTCAGGAAAGGCAAAAGCTGCACATCGCAAGTGCTGAACCTGACTCAGCACATAGAAGATGGCTCTGAAAAGCAGCAGATCACAGGAGCTGTCTTTATAGACCTGACAGCGGCTTATGATACTGTGAACCACCGCCTCCTCCTGAGAAAAATGTATAATATCACAAAGGACTACCATCTCACCCGTCTCATAGGAAACCTGCTACAAAACAGGAGCTTTTTTGTTGAGTTCCAGGGCCAGAGAAGCAGATGGCGGAAACAGAAGAACGGCCTGCCTCAGGGGAGCATGCTCGCTCCATCCATGTTCAACATCTACACAAATGACCAGCCACTGCCAGAAGGGACAGAGAGTTTCATCTATGCTGATGATCGTGCCATTACCGCTCAAGCAGGGAGCTTTGAGATGGTTGAACAGAAGCTCTCCGAAGCTCTAGGTGCTCTTACTGCCTATTACAGGGAAAACCAACTGATCCCTAATCCATCTAAAACACAGACATGTGCCTTTCACCTTAAGAACAGACAAGCGTCCTGAGCTCTGAGGATTACCTGGGAAGGAATCCCACTGGAGCATTGCAGCGCACCCAAATACCTGGGAGTCACTCTGGACCGTGCTCTGACCTACAAGAAGCACTGCCTGAACATCAAACAAAAAATTAGTGCTAGAAACAATATCATACGAAAGCTGACTGGCACAACCTGGGGATCACAACCAGATACAGTGAAGACATCTGCCCTTGCGCTATGCTACTCTGCTGCTGAGCACGCATGCCCAGTGTGGAACACATCTCACCACACTAAAACAGTGGATGTGGCTCTTAATGAGACATGCCGCATTATCACAGGGTGTCTGCGCCCTACACCACTGGAGAAATTACACTGCTTAGCCGGTATTGCACCACCTGACATCCGCCGGGAAGTGGCAGCCAATAATGAAAGGACCAAGGCAGAGACATCTCCAGCTCATCCCCTGTTTGGGTATCAGCCAGCACGTCAATGACTTAAATCAAGACATAGTTTTCTAAGATCTACAGAGACACTCGCTGGAACACCCCAGCAAGCGAGAGTCCAAAAGTGGCAGGCCCAAACCCAGCACCTCAATCCATGGGTGATACCAGATGAGAGACTCCCCCCTGGGCACACAGAAGACTGGGCGACTTGGAAGGCGCTGAACAGACTGCGCTCTGGCACCACGAGATGCAGAGCCAACCTTCAGAAATGGGGCTACAGGGTGGAATCCACGGCATGCGAGTGCGGAGAAGAACAAACCACTGACCACCTGCTGCAATGCACCCTGAGCCCTGCCACATGCACAATGGAGGACCTTCTTGCAGCAACACCAGAGGCACTCCAAGTGGCCAGATACTGGTCAAAGGACATTTAATCAACTACCAAGTTTGCAAAATTTGTGTGTTTTTTTTAATCTGTTTTTTTTTTGTTCTGTTAGAAATGTAATACAATGGTCTGGTTGCTGATGACACGATAAATAAATATAAATATGTGATATCTGTAGGAGCAGGTGGTGCGAAAGGAGTAGAAATAAAATTAAATAAATAAATTATAAGGAAGGAGGCTCACAGATTTTTGTCCTCCTGACCCATAGGTGGTCCATGGTACACAGGTTAAGAACCACTGCCCTGAAGACAACTACCAGTGGAGATTTCTCAGCAGAATGTGTTCAGAAAGGTTTCTGCCCTTGTTTTCCTCTGAGGCTGAGAGGGTGTAACATGCCCAAGGCCACCCAGTGGGTTTCCATAGCTGAGTGGAAAATTGAAACCTGGCTTTTATTCAGCTATGTAGATACCAAACCTTGGACACCAGAAGTCCAAGGTTTGGTGTCTACATAGCTGAATAAAACCCACATTTTCTGCTTTGAATGGGAACATATGGTACTGTGGATTCAGATAACCCAGGGCCCTTCCACACAGCCCGATCTCCCAGAATATCAAGGCAGAAAATCCCACATTATCTTAATGTGGATTCAGATAACCTGGTTCAAAGCAGATATTGTGGGATTTTCTGCCTTGATATTCTGCTATATAGGGCTGTGTGGAAGAGCCCCTAGTCTGGCACTTGAGCCATTACAACCAAATGGATCAATGGGACCGACAAATGTGGACTCACCGGACCACTGAGGGTCTTTTCACACAGCCCTATAACCTAGAATATCAAGGCAGAATAACCCACAATATCTGCTTTGAAATGAAATATCTGAGTCCACACTGCCATATATCCCAGTTCAAAGCAGATAGTGCGGGGTTTTATTCACCTGTGTGGAAGGGGCCTAAGACACTGGGTCTTGGGGATGTGGCTGCAGAGAGGACAGGATTGCCCCTCCAAAATAATGATTCTCCCTGCCATGAAACTTAGGGCCCTTCCACACAGCCCTGTATCCCAGAATATCAAGGCAGAAAATCCCACATCATCTTTTTTGAACTGGGTTATCTGTGTCAACACTCAAGTAATGTGGGATTTTCTGTATTGATATAGGGCTGTGTGGAAGGGCTTTTATTTGTGGGATTGCAAATATGAAGAGACAGAAAACATCCACAGTATTGCTGTTTGCATTCCCTTAGTAATATAAGTTGCTGTGTTCCCACTGTATACTTTGTTTGCTTTGCTGCATGCCTTCAAACTGTTTCTGACCTATGGCAACCCTGAGAAGACTGGCAAGATTTCTTCAGAGCCTGCCATGATTTTTCTCAGATACCAAGAGAGCATGACTTGCCCAATCTCACCCAAAGGGTTTCATAACCAAGTGAGGATGTGAACCTTAATCTCCAGAAGCACAGTGCAATGTTCAAATCACTAACAACCTGTTCTCCCCCACAAACAATCTGCTCCATCCCTATCTCATCCTGATTTTAGTATTTTTAGTATCTTAGTTTTTATCTTGCACGTGCGGCCCGCTCATTGTTATGTTATTTTATTTTACTGTGTATGGTTTTGCTTTATCGTCTTTGTACTCATATGTTGTATGTATTTTACTGTGTTGTTATTGTTTTTTGGTTTTACTTTATTGTAATATGCTGTTGGGTTTGATATGTAAGCTGCCCCGAGTCCCCATTGAGGAGATGGTGGCGGTGTATTAAATAAAGATTATTATTATTATTATTATTATTATTATTATTATTATTATTATTGACCCTGCCCCCCCTTTTTGGGGGGGATGCTTAAATTCTATCCCTAAATATCCAACAGGTTTTAAACTACCACAATATTAGAAATTCAGTAGGGTGAATTTGGATTTAGTTGCTGGTCAGGATTTTAAAACAGAAATAAATGGGGAGGATGCAGCTGCTACAAGATTTAGTTTAGACCCCACTAGGGAACTGGGGATCATTCTACACAGCTGAATAAAATCCCACATTTTCTGCTTTTTACTGGACTCAAATAACCCAGTTCAAAGCAGATATTGTGGGATTTTCTGCTTTGATATTCTGGATTATATGGCAGTCTGGAGGGGTCCTCAGTTTTAAACAGGCAGCTCTAGCAACTAATCACAGTGAATAGTTTTGCAAAAGTTTCTTCAGTCACAGTACTGTGGGGTTGGATTTTGGCTTTTATGTTACAGGACTGGATCCACTTATAGGTGTTTTTCACTATTTGTCTCTTCCAAGAGTAGAAATATAAAAGCTATTTACTTGAAGCCTGTGGGATCTGGGAGGTTAAAAACTTGGGTACCTGCATGAAAAAATGCTGGATGCCCAGGTCCTGCTGTTGCTGTCTGTTTCATCATCTGTTCTATTGCATTTCTGTGACATTGGTGCCAGCTGTGCAGAAACCAAAGAGTGCTCCAACTGTTTTTCACATAAACTGGTACTTGAAGCATCTATCTTTCTGAAATTTTGGAGACTTCTTCCCAAAAGATGCTTCTATGGCATATGTTATCTTCATAGGAAGTCTCCACAAATCCATGAGAAAGAGAGAGGAAGCAAATAACATATGCACCAAATTGGGACACGTCTCTTCAACGGCACATCCTAGTTTAGATGCATTACAAGTCTCTAAACTACGGACATTTCTGTTTTGAATGTCATTTTCTCTAATTTTTCCCAGAGGTAGAAGTACTTCCTTTAAAAAACTAATTCCCTTCTCCTAAATTGCTTTTGTGCAAAATCTCCATATATACTGCCATATATAGATGGTGCGATGGGTTAAATCCTTATGCCAGCAGGACTGCTGACCAACAGGTTGGCGGTTCCAATCCAGGGAGTGGGTTGAGCTCCTGTCTCAGCTATAGCTTCCCATGCAGGGACATA